ATTAGTGTTAGAGTTAGGTTCTAGGCTAATTTGTGTAGTGCTAGTAAACAAATGACTTAACTGTATTATTTCACGTGATGTGATAATCACTAGGTTCCTTGCTCTTCAAGTGTCCCCTGATATTATCAGTTTGAATCGTTCCAATCCCAATTTGAGTTATACTGAATAGAAATCTTAGAAATTCTTTTTGATAAATTAGATTTTAAAATTAGAAATTTGAGTTTAATTATGTCTCCCGACGTCCCTCTTTAGAAAGGTTTAAAAAAAATTTTTTCGAAATTAAATACAAACTTTAATTTAACTAATAAATTTAATAAATTTTGGGTGAATTTTCTTTTTAAAAAATGTTTATTATTGATTTAGTTGGATCAACAAGTCATGAGCCTGCCATGAGCTGGGAGTTTGTTTCTTTTTTTCATTTTTATAGTTTGGGGGTTTTTTTTCTCTGGTTTTTAAGTAAGTAGGTCAAGTTTTTTTTTTATTAGATGAGATTATTGAGAATAGTAATTTGATCGTTGTCTATTTGGTTGTAAGTAATGATGCAGACATTTCTCAGAGTAGTGACTACTTATGGTATTACGGTTGTGACGTAGAGGTTATACTATTCAAAGTTATATGCCATATACATTACTATACTGAAAAATTTCGCTAGCATCCAAATTTTAGTAAATACAAAAGATTGTTAGTTTCTTTAACATTTGATATAGTAAAGCGTAAAATGGCGCCCATATGCATGTTATTTCAAATATACCCATTTGCATTATTTCGAAATTAGTGTAGATTTTCTAAATCCAATACATTCAATCTTCCATAACTGTATATTTTCAGGTAAAAGTGCATTTATAGAATACTATTCATTTGTGGAGTATAATCTATAATAACAATAATATTAAATAATTGTTGCAGTTAAATAGTTTGATTAAACTAAATTATATTCTATGTACATTAGGATGAGTGTTATTTTTGGATGCCTATAGTGCTAAAATATAAGTTATTTTTGAAGGATCTAATTTTTAAAATAATGCCTATGAGTGTTATTTTGCATTTATATGATAATTTGTTGAATGATATCTGTTCTAAAGGTTCTAAACTGAAATTCTCTAATGCATTATTAATATTTTCATTTTTACTTGGGATCAATTCTAAACACCATTCTTTAAATGTGTTGTCTTTATTATTTTGCCAGTTTTAGAATATTTTAATCATTGTATATTTTTCATATATATTATTAAAAACTTATTGTAATATTTGCTGACTGAATGGAAAGGTAATCAGAAGGGTATTAGTTAGTGGCAAATAAGTGTTTGTAAAAATGAATCACTTTTTTAACCCACTACTGTACTAAATAAGGTGAATGATGGTATATGTATTCATATGATATATAACACTTATACGGCATGCATCACTTCTACTTATACAGCAAATATGCCATATTACTGTGATATTTTTGCTCAGGTAGCTACCCTCAAAATTTTAAATGTCTCTACCTCTAGTTGTAACAATGATGTTTATTTGTATATTATTTTTATTTTTAATAATAAATTTTGGTAGGATGAAGAATTAAACTTTTACTTATCTGTTTTAGTTTTATAATGCTCAATTCTAGTATAAATAAAGGCTTCTAGTTATTTTGCTCTATTGCACAATTAGTGATCAGGATTGATTGGTAGTTTTTTAATTTTTGGTGAGTTAATTAAAATTATTTTTGATTTGTTATTGTTATCCGATTATTTTAAGAAAAGTGTCTTTTTGTTATATGTGTATTTAAAGTAATTGATTGTTGTTTAGCATTTATAAAAGTCATGTAATTTTTAATATAATTGTAGTCAGTTTAAATTAAAATAATATGGGATGAGTTTGTACTTACTTTTGAGTATAAATCTTTTTTCTAAAGGTGTAGAAATACGATGGTATATAATATAAATCTATATGTTAGGAATTGGTTGCGACAGTTATTGAATTTGTAAACATTTTTATTATATTTGTTGTTTTGTTTGAGTTTGTTAGTAGTTTTTGAGGATTAAGCTATTGTGATACTTATTATGTTTGGTGCATAAATAAAGTTTTGGTTAAGGTTAAATCAGTATACACTGTGAATAAATAAGTTTTAATTAGTGATGTAGGTTTTGTATGTTAAATATGTATTGTGATGATAATTACTGTAATCGGCTTTTGTTAAATGAAACTTTATAAAGCTCTTGCTTCAATTCCCATTTACCTAAATCTTTTAACTTAATCGTTACCTATAATCAAATTTTTTCAAGATGTCTTCCTTATTTTTATTATTTTATTCATGCGCTTTAATAATAATGAATTCCTTTTTTAGTTAAGATTTTTTTTATTCATGCACCTCACTATGTATTTAGAAACGATTAACAAATTCTTTCATTCTTGCCTTTGGCAATCAGTGATTATCAATTCATCAGCCCAATAAAAAATCTGACGAAAGAAAACTGAAAATTATTAAATATTCATTAAAGTGGTATACAAATTTATATCGGGTCAGTGATTTTTGTGTCAAAAATTCTTATTTTTACTATCATATATTATCATTTATCCGGTTTTAGCGGTTGAGTTAACTCACAAGCTAGAGCTAGAGCTCGAGCATAGCTTATCATGTGCTGCTCTTGCTCTTGCTCTAGCTCTAGCTCTAGCTCTAGCTCTAGAGAAGAGATATAATGACTACAATCGGTTGAAATTTGTGACACTAAAAATTTCCAAAAAAAGTTATTTCAAAGAAAATCATTTCCCAAAAATATTTAGTTAATTTCCTAGAAGAGCAAAGAAGAGCAATTTAGCGTAACACCATTTGCCAACAATCATTTCTGGGCTAATAATAATAACTAACTAACGATCTGCATAAATTTTTATGGGTCCAGTGAGGGCCCGAACAATGCAAGTCGAGGTTACATTGGTTCATTATCCACTTACGTACTGCGATTTTGATTGACTAAATAAGGTCAACCAATCAGAAATGCAGATTTTGGATAAAATTTATAAAAATCTTATAGCTGTTTTCTATTTCAGTATTTACTTTAGTTGTACGGCCTGAAAACCGGGTTTGCACGTTGTAAAAGGGTAAATCATGTCTTGGAGTGAATTTTTTCGCACATAGTATATCAGATTCATATTAGGTTTAGAAGCTATGTACATTTTGTACATAGAAACCATGTACATTTTGCACATATGTACATTTTGCACATATGTACATTTTGCACATATGTACAATTTGTACATAGACACCATGTACATTTTGTACATGGTGATTAACGCGAATATAGCATAGCGAACATGTATCTATTAGTAGCATAGAATCTATAATTAGAAAACTAGAATTAATGTAAGATAGTAAAGTTTATCCGCTATGTACGCAGAAAAGGTCAAAAGCTATTTAAGACCTATCTTTTCGTTTCAATAAAAGGTAACTCGGTGAGAGTTTGTAAAAGTCAGTTAGTGAGTGAGATAAGAAAAAGTCGGTAGAACTCATTAGAGTTCGACTCATAGAAGTCAAGTATTCTGACTTCAAAGTTTCGGTCCAATTACCCCCCCCCCCCCGATAATTGAAATTCGCATAGAGTTAGTAGTCTAAAACTCGTGATTCCGAAGTAGAGCCTCGTGACATAATCCAGAGCTTTATTTGACCCTAATAACTCGGACCAAGTTTTTCCACGCCTCGATCGTGCCTTCCACCATTAGGGTTGATAGAGTTCAGTAGTTAGAGTATTGTTTAGATTAGTTTTAGTGGTAGTTGATATCCGTGAGACCCATATTTAGAGATTCCGGAGAAGTTCTCACTTTTACAACGTGTGAATTCCGTGTTAGCACTAATTACATTGTACAGTATAATATTAGTAATTCTTAGGTGTAAATTTTTTTTGCCAATCTCATCGACTAAAAATTTTGAGGGGTCTTATACGTTACGTTAGGGTGTTCAATAAACTAATTATTCAAAACATAGTTAGGGTCATTAAGTTCGGATTTTTTAAAGCGTTATTCACATGTGAATTTAGGTACATTTTTCTACACAACTAACAAACAAAACTGTACCACATATTTTTTTAAACTGTAGCTCTAGGCTAGCTCTACACTGAAATGAACCGGTTTTTTAATAACCGGTATTAATTATTAATAAAATTTAAACCAAAATTTTATTAAAAGTTATTTAAAAAACCGGTTCTATTTCAATGTAGAACTAGTCTAGAGCTATAGTTTTAAAAAAAATATGATACAATTTTGTCTGTTAGTTGTGTAGAAAAATGTACCTAAATTAGTACAAAATTCATATATAAATTCATACGTGAAATAACCCTTTAAAAAAATCCGAACTTAATGACCCTAACTATGTTTTGATCAATTAGTTTATTGAACACCCTAACGTTACGTACGTACGAGCTTTTATCTCACATTTCCTTTTTTAATTGATTCAATAGTTTCATAAGTTCGCGAGGCTTATCAAGCATTCTTTACATCTCTATTACTGTATTAGGAAAAAATGAGATAGAGAGTAAATAAAAATAAAAGTATATCTTTGTACATATTAGTAAATAAATAAATATATATCGAGTATTTATAAATTTTATTTGATTGCTCGAAAATAAAGTTTAAAATCAATACAGTCAAATCTAAAATTTAATATGGACAATTTTTCGTTACTATTGGAATTTGATCCTTATCCTCTTCATTTTTCAAGGATGTCACGCTTCAAGAGTGTTTCATTTACAACATGTTTTTTTATGAATATGTGGTTTACCGTCAAAGATTATTCGGAAAATTTCTTCACATAACTGGTTGACAAACTTTGTCTTTGTATTTCTTTTTAATATATAGTTTTTTATCATCTAAAACTTTTGTTTATGCGAACAGATCTTCACGTTGATCCAATTACCTTGAATCAAGCGATCCAACATCGTTTTGTCATCATTATTCACCGAATTCAATACTAAACATTGCCGGAAAGTTCGGTTTATTATCGGCACCATACGAATTCTACTTTTGAATTTATGCGGTCGAACTTTAAAGATATAGACTTAATCGTATATACCGGTGATTCCGTTAGGCATGATAAAGATAAATCATTTAAGCGAATCGAAGAACAGGTTTTGGATGGTCATGGAAGAGTTGTGCAATATTTTCTAAAGTATTTCGATTTATCAAGAATAAAATTTGTATGTTTTTTTTTTTAAAAAAAAAAAACGCTTTACTTTATTATATCTCTATTGGTTAATGCTCTTCTCTCTTTTTGTAAGATGCCATCGCTCGGAAACAATGACGAATTCAGTACGATTAACGTTGAATTTTCCCGTTTTCTGTTTCACGTGTTAAAGTCTTGCTGCGGTTCATTGTTAAAATCTTGTCTTTTATATAGAACACAATCGATTTACTGAAGGACCAAATGATTTGTTTAGCAATTTAACTCAAATATGGGCACCTTTGAAATTGAATAACTTCTGACTTTCTTAATAGAGGATACTGTCGTCAAGATATTATGGCAAATTCTCTGTACTTAATCTCAATTCTATGTATTTTTACAAAAAGAATAAATTACTACGTGATTGTGATATAATGGATAGTACCGGTGCATTACAACTGAAATGGTTAGAACGTGAATTAAAAAATGCGCGTGATGAAGGACGAAGGATTTATACTAGTATGTGAACATAATAACGTCAAAAGTTTAAATTCAATACGCATGATTAATATAATATTTTCTTTTGTGAAAATATAGATGAGATGTTATATTCACCAGCATGGATTAATGTTAATTGGCAAATATTTGGTCATTATCTGTGGTCTTTTCATAGGTATTTTTTTTCTGTTATTAAATTTTTTCATTTATTTATTTATATATTTTTATTCATATTATCAAATATATATATTAGGGCACACAGATTAGCATTCGTTACTGTCAATGAAAACGAAGATAGAAAAAACACACATTCTATCTACAAGTGATATTATGTAATATCACTGCTAAAAACCGGATTGACGTAAAATTTCATATTGGCGTATCTATGCCGAAATTCTTCGGAACTAGGGCTATTGTTAAGCAATACCAAGTTAGGTTAGTCATGATCGAAAAAATGTCGAGAGCACAAGATCAACAAACCTACTTTAGAATACCTTATATGCACATGATTTTACAAATCGTTGATCTTATAATCTTGACATTTTTTTGCCATGACTATCCCGTCTGCAATACCAGTCAACTATTTACTTACATGACTTCTTCAGTTCCGACCTGATTCAAGCCCGGAATTCTTCCCGTACGATTTTAATTTGCGATAATAAGTTCGCATCTATATTTGGCTATAATAAAAAATTGTCTCATTTTAGAAGCCCGATATTCTATCAATGTCTGAATAATAACTTGTTTGAATTGTCAGGAAATCGAGCTTTCGAGAGTTTTACATGTCAGGTTTTCTTTACAGTCCGAGTTGTGGGTATCAGAATTTCGTAACAAATCGATTTTAATCAATTTTTTTTTTTTTTTTCACCTTTTTGTAGCTCATAATCCAGCAATAAGACAATATGCGTATTCAACAAGAAGTCGGGATTTTGGTTCATTAAAAGATTACAAACAATACATTGTAAATCTAACGGAAGCAAATGAGATTGGTGAGGCTATATGGAGACTTGAAAATAAGGCTAATAAGACTTATGGGTGAATTCTTTGGGAGCAAAAGATTGGGCCAGGGTTTTGAAAGATTTCAAGCACCCGATAGTGATACTTTGAAGTTGTATGTTAAACATATGACAGTTAGTGGTCCTTAAAAAAAAATTTATTTGGAGTTTAAAAAACTCAAACATTTATAAATTATTATATAATCTTAAGTACAGGTTTAATTATTTTTTAGCCTTATGTCGAATTTATTGATTGTTTTTGTTGTACTAATTTAGTGCACTCAAACATTGCATTATCGTATAATTTTCAATAGTAAAAATTTTCCCTTTATTGATCCGGAGCGAGGTTCTTTTAGTGTCTATTAGGAATGTTAAATCGGTAAAACTAAAACCATTTACGTTAAGTTCCGAATTAGTAGCTTGACATATAAACTAGTTTTACTAGTTCGTATTTGGAAAATCGCAAATTATCACAGTAATTTTATAATATTGATGGGTTAATTTTATATTTCACAACTATATATATTTTTTATTTAAATGATATAATTTATCCTATAATACATAAATAATATTTAGCAAAAAAAAACCAAAAAAAAAAAACAAATAATCGTTAAATATCATTTGGAAATTCTATACCGATACCAACAGATTTACTAAGATTTAGTTTTGATAATCTTTTACTGATTTCCAAAGTATTAAATGGTTTGCTAGTGTATATATTTTTTAGCTCTTCTTTAATTATTGTATAATTTTTGT